GTCTCCTGTTCCCAGCTCTCTTGCCACAGCTGGTAGGTGCGGGTGCGTTCCTCTGTTCGTGCCTGGTCCTCCCCACGGCGCTGATAAATTGCTTTTCTCTCCGCCGCCAAAAGTTTGACGGGGATGACTCCAGCAACCACCAGGACGGCGGGTTCGGACACTGTTCGGTAGGCGGATGCAACTCTAAGTGCTGCCTGACGCTGCACTCGGGCAAGCCGCATCCTATATACCTCCTTATTTAGAGCGTCTGCCCACACCTCAGCACCGTACAAGAGTACAGACTGGACAGAAGACATTAACAGCCTTCTTCGGCTGGACTGAGGCCCTCCGACATTGGCCATCAACCGGCTAAGAGAGGAGACCACCCTAGCGGCCTTGTCCGCCGTACGGAAAATCTGATCCCGCCAGCTAAGCTTGCTGTCCACCATAATCCCAAGGTACTTGGCAGAACGAACGGTCTGGACTTCAACGGCCCCTACCCTCAACGGCACGATGGTGTCAATCCGTTTTTTTGTTAATATCACGATCTCAGTTTTGCTCAAAGCAAGCGAGAGACCGTGGTCTGTCATCCATGCGTTTATAGTACGCATAACTCGGTTCAGCTTTAGCTGAGCCAGCTCAACGCTACGTGCAGCTATCAAAACTGCAACGTCGTCCGCGTACCCAACCAAAACAGTTTTCTCAGGCATTTCAGACCTCAGGAGGCTGTCATACGCGACATTCCAGAGGTCCGGGCCGAGTGTGGAACCTTGGGCAGCATCGGAAGTGACACTCATCGTCCGTGGGCCCTCTGTAGTGTCATACAAGAGGAGGCGGAACCGGAGATAATCCTCTATGATACGCATGAGGTATGCCGGGACGTGGAAGGTGTTCTCCAGAGCATCCAGCATATCGCACCACCTCGCCGAATTAAATGCGTTTCGCACATCGAGAGTGACGAGCAGCACAACCCTTCGAGAGTAGTGGTTAAAATCCTCAGCTCTCATCACGGCTTGCTTCACCTCTTCAACAGCGTCAACCGTAGATCGCCCCATCCTGAATCCATACTGCCGAGGGGACAGGTCCCCTGCAGCGACCACGGCTGAATTCAGTCGGGAACGTATCAACTTCTCGAGGACTTTTCCAGCCGTATCCAACATACACAGAGGTCTGTAAGAGGATGGCAGGTCTGGGTCTCCCTTCCCCTTCCCAACAAGCACAAGCCTAGCTGTTTTCCAGCACGAGGGGAAAACTCCTTCGACTAGGCAGGCATTGTACATGCGCAAAAGGATCAAGGGGTTAATAGTCAAAACCTTTTTGAGAACTTCGCCGGGTACCCCATCGGGTCCAGGAGCCTTATTGTTCTTCAGGGATAGGACGGCCGCCTCCACCTCTCCAAGACTGAAAAGTGGTACGTCATCCACCCTTCCGAAATCCCGCAGTGGGCGCAACGTGTGAGCCGGGAAAAGGGACTCGACTATCCTCTCCATAGTGGCCCCATCCATGACGGAAGGTGGAGAGCGGGTGCCAAGTTTCTTGGTTACCAGTTTGTAACCCGAGCCCCACGGATTGGAATCGATATCGTCCCTTAATGTCTCCCAGCAACTACGTTTACTCCGGTTGATGGCTCGACGAAGAGACCTCCTAGCCACACTGTAAGCATCCGACTTACGACGTCTGTCTACAGACTCTCTGGCCCTGGTAGCAAGTCTTCTGGCTCTCAATGCTGACCGACGCAATTCCGCAATCTCGGCAGTCCACCAGTACACAGGTCGCTTATTGCACCGGGATCTTCCGCGAGGCATAGACTCATCGCAAGCGGAGACGATTAGTCCCATCATGGATGTAACTAACACCTCTGCATGAGCCACGCTAGTTGCGGCGGGAACCACTGGTGTTCCTCGTAAGATGGCTTCATTGAATTTTGCCACGTCCAATTTTTTAATATTCCATCGAACGGGCACTTGACGAAACGCGGCTACTTGTCTCTGATGACCATCCAGGACATCAAAAATAATGTACTGGTGGTCATTGCCCGTGTAATCCTCCAGAACTCTCCAGGCTCTGATCCTTGGCAAAAGGGACTCAGATGCAAGGGACTCAGATGGATGGTTATGTCTGGGATCGTTCCCCGCATCCCAGGGCGCCGGAAAGTTGGCGTGTTTCCCTCGTTGACGACAACGAGTCCGGCTCTGGCAGCAAAGTCCAGACTGTACTTGCCCCGGGAATTGGTGAGGGTCATTCCCCACTCGACAGCCCTAGCATTAAAATCCCCACCCACGACGACGTGTCCTGTGGTATTGCGCACGCTCTCTTCCAGGCGGTCTATCTTCTCACGAAATTCACGGATGGCCTCGTTGGGAGTGAGGTAGACACTAAAGTAAGTGACATCCCGGCACCGAACCCAAACGAAACCTCGGCCCTTCGCGTGACCCCGTACTTGTACTTTCGCTGCATTACGCGCCCAGAATGCAGCAGTACCAAGACTATCAGGGAACCAAAAAGATGGGTCCCTATCACGGTACTGGTACTGTTCGCTGACTAAGAGCGCGTCGACATCGTGTTCTAGGGCAAGCTGACATAGAAGTGCGTCAGCCGACCTGGATCGCTCAAGATTGCACTGAAGGATTCTTATCTTCGTGAAAGGACTTTCGCTTGCTGTAGTGCAGATTTGAATACACTACACTGTCCAGACCCAGCTATATGCTTCAAGTGTTTGTCAGCGAGCCCATTTTCTTTGCAAAGGAAACAGGACTCGACTTGGCAGTCCTTACGGACGTGACCGACCTCCCCGCACCGAAGGCAGTTCTTGCTTCGGTCGGGTCTCTTGCAGTTTCGGGAGGAATGGCCGAAACAGAGGCATTTAAAACACCTCTTCACTTCCACTCTCCGTCTGAGCCTGCAGTTGACCCAGCCGACTCTCAGATGCTGGAGTCCCAGCACCTTCGTGGCATGTGCGTCTGCCATTTCGGCGACCGCCATCCGCTGCTGACTCCTGTTCGGTTTTGTGAGCCACACCTTAAGAAAAGCCGTTTGCCCGCCAAGCTCGGGGACAGCTTTCTTCAGGGCCTCAACAACATCAACCTCCGTCGACACACAATCAATGTCTCGAACCTCGACTGATGTCTTTGGTTCAAGAGCACGGACGGTGCCCTGGCCTTCAACAGCTGCCTTCAGTTCGGCAGTAAAGGCTGCTTTGTCTTTCGACTTACCCAGTTCAAGGAGAACGTCCCCGTCCCGGGTTCGTCTAATCGACCGTACAACCGTATCGGTCTGCTCTGGCTTAGCCTTGGCCTTAATTGCACCCAAGACCTCGGCGAAAGATCTCCCCCCTGAGGGCTTGACCAGGATTGCCTCCGTCCTGGGCTTTTTTGGCCGGGACTTTTTCGGAGCAGAGACCGAGCCGGGCCCAGTTTGGGCCACGCCGGTCGGCTGTGCCTTCACTGCCACATTCTTTATAGAGGCGACCTCCGCCCGCCTCAACTGCCTCTTCTCCTTTCGGGAACGACGTTTTTCCCACGCAGCCCCAGGTGTCTCTACGACTGACCCCTTTCGGGAACTTCCCTGAAGGGGGGTCGTAGGTAGCTGTGGTTGTTGGCTCTTTGCAGGAGCTGCAGCTATGTCCGAAAAGGATCTGGGCACAGCAGACAATAGGTCAGTCTGAGTCGCCTTGGCCTTTACCGTGGTCCTTTTGGTTTGGACGCCTTCTTCTCTTTTTTGAGGACTGTCCGATGTGGAAGGCCTTTTACGTTTCTTAGAAGGCAGTGTTCTTTCGTCAGACAGAGACACAACCTTCTCGGCAATCTTCTCCATGGCTGCCTTACTCACCACCCGGCAGGCAAAAACGAAGCCAAGGTCATCCTCCAGTTTGGCCATGCCGTTTTTGACCACTTGATTTACGGCTTTCTGGGTCCGGAAGGTGTCCAGCATAGCCTTGATCGTAGCTTCCATGTCTTGGAGCCGGGTTTCAATGTCACTCTCTGCGTCAAGATATTCCTGACGCAGAAGCACCATCTCAGAGCCTTTTAGGTTAGGTTGAGTTTAACTGTTAATATATTACTTTAAATGTATTAAATATTTTTTTTTACTTTAGTTAAACTGTCTATTACATTTAGATTTGGATTTAAGATCACACTGAGTCTAATTTATTGTGTATTACCCTTTGTTTCCCTTGTCTGTGGTATTACTTTATATTCAAACATTCTGTTACGGGAACGACTGGACTTTATTAAGCGTCTCTTCACAAAAAAAAAAAATCAAAAAAATCTAGAAATAAGTTAAATTCAGCTCTGCTGCTTATCAAACATTGTTCCTGATGAAATAACAATTGGTGCAGGTAAGTAATAAAGTGGAAAAACAAAAATTATTTAAAAAATTTTATTTTGTTGATATTATATTATTCAGTGACATTCACCCATATCACTATTTTTACGAATTTATATGTATTAGTTTTACCAGTTAGTTTTAAGGCTTTGATTTAACCATTGACAATATGTCCTGCTATGTACTGACATGTAATTTAATAAATAAATAAATGAACATCCCCCGCTGTCGTGAAGACATTATCGTCATCTTCCCCGATCACGGAAAAATTCTGATCATTTATCCGGTCACGGTAATGTCATTGTCGTCTTGCGCGGTCGCGACAATAACTGGAATTTTTCAATCACACAAGCTTTACCGATGTGTCAGGTATTGGTACCGGAATCAACTTTTGGAATTGACCCAACCTTAATATTAATAGTATTCAAGCACAAATAAAATTCTTTAGGACTCCATGCTATGAATGTGATTTGTGTGAATATTCCAAAATTATTACAGTGAATGACAGTGGATGTTGATTTTGAGTCATTTGTCAATATCATGTTTTAGTTAACAGTTAAGTTGCATGGTTGAAACTTATTAAATGATGACAATACCCTATGTGGAGTTACTAACACCTCAGTAAAGAAAGAAAATTCAATAATCAATACAATTCAAAATACAAAACAATTGAAAAGAAAATGAAAGCTTGAATTCACCTCATCTTGGTTGGGGGCCATTTCGTTGACCACTCTCACTGTGTCACGAGGTCTAGCTGCTGTCTTATCCCGTCGTCTTGACACTGACAGAGGTGACTTAGTCTTCTCTGAGCCTTCTCTAGCAAGCAGCACGGACATGCGCACCTCAGGTGGCCCTTCGCCAGACTCGGGGGGCAGCTTTACTGTGGTGGGGATGCGTTCACCTAAACACGACCTGCCAGCATATCATAACGTTAACAAATTTCATTGACTTCACCTGCTTTACTCAATTTATTTATTCCTCAATCCATGTTCAAGATATGTATAATAGTTAAACTGTCTATTAAACAAAAAAATATGCAACTTAAGTTAAAAAGTTTTTTTTATTATTTTGATTTAACTAAATCCTCTAACTGTGATTTGGTGATTTCAGGACTACCAAAACAGTAAATTTAAAAAACTATACCTAACCAGTCAGCACTTCAGTGACATGACACATAATCAGAATTAGACCATGGTGTTTTACCAATACATACTGGGTTTCCCATAATAGTCCCCCCTGGTTAATTTTTGAACGGCAGCATATAAACAAGCTTTGATACACGTTACTAGGGTAATGTGAAGTACTTTTTGATGGTATTTTGAAATTCACCCCCACCCCCAAATAGGGGTTGCTGGGGGTAACTTAAAATTTTTAAATAGCAACCCCTATCAAGTAGTCATTTTAAAGAGCTTTAAAACAAGGAAATTAATGGCGCAAATCAGACTTTGATACGATGAATTTTCAAAAAAGTACCTATGGCAAGAAATGTTAGACATCAATTTAACTGGAACTTTACATTCCATCACTTTTATTTTTTTCATGGCTGTAAATTTTCAAATAACCTTTAGTATGGGTGATGTCACACACTTTTCAAAATGATTACTTGCAATCGCAGGAATGCCAGAATTGCAGAAAGGTTGTGAGTGTCTCAGACAATTGTGGCAAAATCCGTGATCTTTTCTCTCACAATCATGGCACCACACTAGGTAGTTTCTTATGATCTCGGCAACATCAGTGATCATATCATTCGATTGCATCTAAATTTGTGATGATTTCCCACGATAGACGAACATCCATGATAATTTTTAGTCATCACAGCAACGATCCAGATCATTACTTGTGATCGCGGAAACGCCAGAATTGCAGAATTGTTGTGAGCGTCTCACACAGTAGCGGCAAAATCTGTGTTAGTTTCTCGTTATCACAGCAACACACGTGTTGGTTTCTTACGATCACGGCAATATCCGGTAATCTTCCTGGCGATCATTTCAAAATCTTTAACTATGTCTCAATTTCAAAAATAACTGTGATTATATACCGCGATGTGATGATTTCATTGCGGCGAAATCTGCGATCATCTCCAGTGATTATTTCAACAACCGTCACAATTTTTTTGCGATTGAGGCCACATCTGTGATTTGCAATAGCGGCAAAATTTATCATTTCTTACGATCGCAGCAAACTTCTTTGTTTATTTCTTAGGATCGAGGTAACATCCGTGATAATTTCTTACAATCGTGGCAACATTCGTGAGTGTTATACTTTCCCGTAATCGCGATTATTGAAGACACAAAACAAGAAAATCGGTGATTTGGGGTGGTTTTTTCGGCATGAAAATTTTTGGCGTGAAAACTCAAATTTCTAGGTGCAAAACTCACGTATAATTCCCAGTTTTTCTGGTTTCCAGGTTGGATGGACACATATCCAGCAGAAGTTGAAACTGTTTTTGTAATTTTGTAGTTTTTTAAAAGAATTTTCTTAAAAATTAAATAAACTTATGTGTAAACTGGCAATAGTTGTTGTACCTATTGAGCACTTCTGCTGCTTGCACAGCAGTCTCATCAGTCTCCAATGGGTCCAGAGCTACCACGAGAGCAGGGGCGTGGGACCGGCCCAGGGACGGACCATTGAGTGCCTCTATCAGTGATACTGCCTCGTACCCAGCAGGAATGTTTTCACAGTTACTCTACAAACATGTGAATGCATCTTTTATAAAAGAGGTTTTCAAAACAAAATTAGGCCTATTGGTATAATAAGATTTGCTGAAAAAGTATGGAAAAAACATGTTGAATAACTATAAACATATATAACAACCATCGCTGCTTGTTAACCTTATTCATTCTCTAATACATAAAGTATTTATTAGATTCTATTGTAAATATTAATAAACAGTTACTGGTTGTTTTGATTTTTCTTGAGTTTAAGTATTCATAAATTGCAACAGAGACGTGGTCCTGGTCCTAAAAAATTAAACCCAGCATGAGGTAAGAATGGCCTAATACTATCAGCTCCAATCAGTATTCTTTTAAATAGAGTATATTAATATTTATTTTAGAATGAAAAAGATTTTAAAAAAATGTGCAAAACACATTTTTTTTTTAAGTGGATGGTTGCTGACCTAACCTCCTGCTGATGGACACTGCTGATTTTATGGTTGGCCTAAGAAGCCTATACTAAAGCAATTGTTATTATTATTAACCTCAATTAAATAAAATTGAGTTTATTTTACATATTACATAACAACATAACTTTATTTCTACTTTTATATTGTTGGCTTTGGGATCAATGCATCAGTATTTCGATGCACGCTCAATCAAATCGCAATTCGATGCATCAAATCAAATTTTAATTTTAATGCATATTCGATGCATTTCACACCACTAAGTTTAAGTTCACATTAGGAAAGATTCACACGTAATGGTTATGTACAAAATGATAAAAAAACCTCAATTAATTACTTAATTAAATGAAAGTAAATAAAGCGCCATACTTTTTGGCTTAGAACCACCTGCTGAGTGTTGCTTGGTATAATTTAAAGTATGCATATAAAATAAATTAAACATTCCCAAGATGATGCCGGATTATTGGGCATTCCAGGTTGATGTCAGATGTCAGACAAACATTAGTTTACTGTGCTAATTATCAAAATAATACATTTTATTTTAAATCATTAAAACCAAAAATGCTTGACTCACAATCCTGTTTAATGTTTTCAGTTATTGTTTTAATACTATCTTAGTTTTATTAATGGAAAGCAATTAAAACTAAGCTACCTCTTGAGGAATCGAAGGTAGCTGGGTGGTAGACTTCTGAAGTGCTCTGATCTGCAATAGTGCACGAAATGGAGCACGACAGATAGGACAGTTATTGGCCTGGTACCGTAGAGAATCTGCACAGGAGTTGCACAAACACAAGTGTCTGCAGGGTAGTATCAGTGTATCTCTCACATCACACATACAAATCACACACTCTGATCCATTGTCTTCCGTCTCATCATCACTGTTGCCCTACAAACAACTACTGGTTAGTACAGAGAACCTGCACAGGAGTTGCACAAACACAAGTGTCTGCAGGGTAGTATCAGTGTATCTCTCACATCACACATACAGATCACACACTCTGATCCATTGTCTTCCGTCTCATCATCACTGTTGCCCTACAAACAACTACTGGTTAGTACAGAGAACCTGCACAGGAGTTGCACAAACACAAGTGTCAGCAGGGTAGTATCAGTGTATCTCTCACATCACACATACAAATCACACACTCTGATCCATTGTCTTCCGTCTCATCATCACTGTTGCCCTACAAACAACTACTGGTTAGTACAGAGAACCTGCACAGGAGTTGCACAAACACAAGTGTCTGCAGGGTAGTATCAGTGTATCTCTCACATCACACATACAGATCACACACTCTGATCCATTGTCTTCCGTCTCATCATCACTGTTGCCCTACAAACAACTACTGGTTAGTACAGAGAACCTGCACATGAGTTGCACAAACACAGGTGTCTGCAGGGAAGTATCAGTGTATCCCTCACATCACACATACAGATCACACACTCTGATCCATTGTCTTCCGTCTCATCATCACTGTTGCCCTACAAACAACTACTGGTTAATACAGAGAACCTGCACATGAGTTGCACAAACACAGGTGTCTGCAGGGAAGTATCAGTGTATCCCTCACATCACACATACAGATCACACACTCTGATCCATTGTCTTCCGTCTTATCATCACTCTTGCACTACAAGCTACAATACAGAAAACCCTAAGGAAACAGAAATGAATAACATTGGCAGTTTTCTTAAGAGAAACAATTTATACTTAAACACAAAATAGTAGTTTTCATCACTAGGAGCGAAAGTGGCTCTTTTTGGTGTGATTAAGTACCAAAAGACACTTCGCTCTGTGGGATGAACAACTAGTTTCATCATACTGTGGATTTTGGAAATAACCTTTATCGTGTGATTAGTAGCGTTTTCATTATGCACTGATACAATTTTGAGAATTACAGTTTTGAGGTTAGCGAACCAAAACATTTACCAAAGGTTTTTTTCTGTTCTTCATTTGAAGTTACCCGAAAACAATGATTTTGCTGACGATTTAGAGAACTAATACGGCTGATTTCCGGACAGTATGATGAAAAATAATTTTGTAAATTTAAAAATTCTCCAAAATAATACATTAAAAGACCCCATAGAAAGAAAATAAATAAATCTTTCTAATGACCTAACGTTTACAAAAATTTAATATAGTAATCTATATATTAATACGAAAGCAGTTTTCATTTCACAGTCATAACTCGATAACGGCTTGACGGATTTTAACGTTTGAGTTGTCAAATGTACTAGTGGTTGCCTCGTGGTCAAAAACTCAACCAAAAAACATGTATTGTGCAAGCTTTCTATTTTCACTGTAAATAAAACATGTGATGGATTTTTTTTTCCATTTGTTTTGATTTTATGTTTAAATTTTGTTGTTATTTCGTCATCAGCATGGCAAACCATAAGGCCCATGTTAATTTTTTAACTTGTTTTTTGTGCTTATTTTTTAGCCTATTTTCTTACTAATATTATAAATGGGAAAGTTTGTGTGTTTGTTTGTTTGTTTGTTTGAAGTTCAATCACGCATAAACCACTGGACGGATTGGGCTGAAATTTGGCATCATGATAGCTCACATTCCCGATTAACATATAGGCATATTCTTATCTCAAAAATCCTTTCGGGCTCCGCCCCAGTGGCTCTGTAGTTCCCCATGTTAACATAAGACATAAGACATAAGACATAAGACATGTTTATTTCCAGTAGACATATTACAAATGTATTGGAAGAGTCAAACATTTTTCATGCAGAGCAGTTGTCAAATTAAGAAGTAAGTTACAAAGTGTACTTTGAAGTCTACGAAAAAAGAAAATTGCAATTTAGGTTATATAATTGGTCTTAAACTAATATCACAGAGTTTATCACTATTGAGAAGTAAAAACAACCATTTGAAAGTTAGCAAAACATTACAAAATTAGACAGGTTGTAGGCATTAGGTGAAGGCATAATAGTTAACACAAAGACAAACTAAAAACACAACTTTGAAGAAGGAAGGTCTAAAAACTCTTTGAGTTCGTAAAAAGGATTAACAGCTAGCCATTGGAACACTTTTTGTTTAAAAGAATTATATGGGAGAGAGAACATAAATGTAGGTATCTTATTAATACATTGCATGCCCACTATTTCATAACTTTTCTTAGATTTCTCCAGTCTAACATAGAGAATGTCAAGTTTATTTCTGAATCGAGTATTGTGCTGGTGGACATCTTTACGGCAGTTAAAATCATTTAAATTCTTAAAACTAGTTAACAATAAATTAAAAATATACAAGTTAACAACAGTGAGAATTTTAAAATCAATAAAAATTGGTTTATGGTGTTCAACAACATCTACTTTGGCTATTATTCTTAGAATCTTTTTCTGAATTACAAGAACCTTTTTTACATGTGGGCTATTTCCCCTCGATGTATTTGGAGGTACTGACTATTTAGATATAAAAATCGTATTTGTGAGCTGGTCTTTATCATGGTCATAATCTAAGAACAATCTTTCCGTTATTCTTACACTCTTTAATTGTCTAGCTGTAAAATATTAAAATAATATTTTGTAGTTTGCTCGTAATATTATTTATATAAACAGCTCTGGTTTTTTTATTTACATTTTGTGTTGTTACGATTTTTAAAATCAGTTTCATTGGTATTAAAATGCGTTCATATTTAAGAAAACATTTTTTTTTAATTCTTTTGGCATAGAACAGAAAATTTTATTTATTCTGCTTTCATTACCAAACAAATAGCTGCCATCCAAGCTTTACTAACATCCAATAAATCACCAGTTTCTTTATGAAACGAGCCATCAGCCAAAAATCTTAGTGCAACTAACATTTTTCTCCAATTTAGGATACTGTAATGGATTCTGTTGTCGGAAAATCCGTACTTGGGAGTGAACGCCTCAAATGACTCATTGACGGCATCTTTGGAACAAATCCATCTTTCTATTTGTCAAGTAATAAAAGGGTTTTAGTCATGATGATGAGCTGGTCGTAGCAAGGTAGTGGAGTGGTGGTACATAGTAGTCAACATAAAGATATTTCATAGTCATATTCCATACACACAGCGACCAGTGAGTACAACACACGACGGTGATATCACCGCGAAGCATACAGTTTGCTTGATGTTCCCCACGACAACTACAGTATTTCTGATAATTATTTTAGATAACGGTGGTTTAACTGTTTTTGAAAGTTAAATTTATATTTTACGCATAATTTTACTGTTAAAACTGTAATAAAATGGGGTTTTATCAGTAAAAATATCTTTGTTACGATACTATCTTGTTAATTTATTTGTCGTTTTAAGTTGTTTGATGATTTTTTGCATGTTTTATACACATTTTTACATATTTTTTAATATGGCGTTTTGGGTAGTGAAATTGTTCGGAATTTAATGAGGAACCATGTTAAAACATTAGATTTTAAAAAATAATCAAAATAAAGGAGCTAATTAGATAAAACCGGCATGATGTCACCTTAAACCTGCCTCCTACCAGGTCTGAGTTGGAGACCAAACAAATCAAATCAAATCAAATCAAAATTTCTTTTATTCCGTATAAAATAATTGTTTTACAGTTTTTACAAATAATGTATTACAATAGAACTATAACTAAGTACCTTAAAGTATACGAAATTAAACCCACATGGGAAAACCCGTGCGTGGGAGTGAGTCGTTTTATATTGCAGCCTAATAAGAAAGAAAAAGAAACTTTGATACTTATTAAAAAACAAATCAAAAAACTTCTAATTACTGGCATGATTTCAAAGCGCTAGCGGAATTTTGGCTAATCGCATAGGAACATAGATAATGATGTCAGATTGACTCATTGACTTCCCCCTACCATTAACAACCCAAAATGCCCCCCTCCCCCCACACACACACACACACGCACACATACTCACCAAGGCACACTCACGCACGCACACACAATCACACGCTGTACCAGCTGTCAGCTATTGTCTGTATATGAAAACTAATAATCTATTAGCTCCATCCCTAACAATGAGATTGAGCCAGTGAACAATGTTTTTTTGTACGTTGTAATTGAGTGTCTGTCGAAGTCTCGTAAGTCTAGTGGAAGGTTAGAGTAAATGATGTGTGCAACGTAGTGGCAATTAGTTGTAAAAAATGTCTTTGTAAGTCTGGGTAAGCGTATGCCTTGGCCCAGTGCATGTCGAGTATTATGGTCATGTTGTGGACGAACAAAGAGTGACTCGTGGTGTTTGAAAATAAACATCGAAACTGTTCTGATGAATAGTTGCGTTAAATACACCATTGTTCTTTTGGGCCCTAACACCATTGTTCATTTGGGCTCGGACTTGACTCGTGAACCCACCGGGACTAATGATCAGAAGCCGGGACTATCTGTAATTGGACTCGTCAACCCAACTTTTAAAACCGGGTTTTATCCCTGCACTAATTGTGCGCAGCCTATCAGTTTGGTCCGCAGCTTATAAAGTCTCGAGCTCGTGAACCCGATTTTTTAAGCTGCGGCTCAAATACCGGTTATTTCCGGATTCTGGGCTCGGACTACGATAGTCCCGAGCTCGTGAACCGCCCCTTACAGTGCAGTTACCCGTTATGTTACCATATAAATATGGAATTTACAATGTATATCAAAATTTCTGTTGTAGTGTTTTCTGTTGTTGTATATTTCCACGGAAAAGACCATTGAGAAACTTTGTACACTATTTTCTGCTTATGGTTTACCTGAGGAGTTGGTGTGTGACAATGGCACACGTCTTTTACCAGCCTAGAGTTCAGGGAGTTTCTTAGGAAAAATGGTGTGAAATTAACATTTTTTAAGAATAAGAATGAGAATAAGAATAACATTCAGAATCATTCGGATTTAAAAAACCATATCATTTTTTTTAATAGCAGTTCTGTGGTGTCTACCAGATTGGTAACACTTAACCCAAGATAATGCGAAAGAAAAGAAACTTTTAACTTTTTTTGTTAACTTTTAATTTATGAGGAAGAATATAATTTGCCACACAGTCAAAAGCCTAGGATAGATCGCAGAACACACGAACTGTGGTGTGCGATCCATCCAAGCACTCCGATACACACCTGATTAAATCTGCTATGGCTAAAACTGTGCTCTTATTTTATCAAAATCCATATTGTTCCTTGATAAATAAATTATTGTCTTCAAAAAATGATAAGATTTGTTTTATTAGCTATTTTCTCAAAAACCTTTGAAAATGCAGGAAGCAGCAAAGGACACTGGCCGATAATTGTCAACATCCAATTTACTTCCTTTTTTAAACAATGGTTTTATTTCTGCATATTTAATTTGGTAAGGTAATATACCAGAAGTGAGTGACTGATCTATAATATGTGTAAATGGTTTTGAAACTTGATCGGCAATCCTTTTCAATAAAAGCCAAAGAACCTCATCCCATCCTGAAGATCGCTTGTTCTTCAATGATTTGATTATTTTATTAACATGATTTTCATCTACTGGACTGAAGTAAAAAAACTGGTTAACTTTGACTCCACTCATTTTTTTTTTCATTGCAAATCTAACTGCCATTTCCCTTGATGGTGAAATCTCATTCTCTAAACAAATATCAGTAAATTTATTGTTAAAAATATCAACTATTTTATTACCATCTTTTAAACACTTATTTTGGAAAACAATGTCTGAAAAGCTATTTCTTGAGTTGCCTTTAAACCTAATTCTCCATTAACAACTGACCTTACTGGCCTTACTTTTATTGTCTGCTTTCTCTATGAAAGGGGCGTTTGCATTTATTTTTGCCATAGAACAGACAGCTTTGAAATTTTGCTTAAAAACTTTACAATACTCTTTAAAGGCATGGTTATCAGATTGTTTTGCTAAGGCTTGCAATTCTCTGTTACTAGCACTTAATTCTCTAATCTCTGAATTTACCCATTTTTTCCAATTGTTTTTTCAGTATCCTAAATTTTCACTAAAATTCCAATTTTCCTCATTTAAAGTAGCCATAAACTGATCAGTTTTTTTGGCTGAAAAAGACCTACTATACCCGAGTTTCTTAAAATTTGCAGTCACCACTAAATTCAATTTCTATGCCAATCCATTTATAAAAATATGAACAATCAGTGTTTTTGATCCATGGGTACATGAAAAATAATAATAATTGGTTCCAGGTGTAGGGGTTTTACACTAATAGTTTCTTCCCTATTTGAACTTGACTTACCTTTACAATATCGTTTCCCTTATTTTCAATGCCATATATCTCCTGCAGCAGGTAACACAGCCCATCGACATAGAGACGTTGCTTGAGAGCTTTCAGGACATATGTGCCATCAGAATGTCTCTCTACCACAGCAATGCTCGTGTGACTCTGCTTCTGATCTGAAACATTGTCGTCATCAGTAAATGTTTACTGCTGGTAGGCCTATGGACTGTTAATGACTCTAAAATATGTAGTGGCTTTATCCCCTAAGACCCCTAATTTTAAACATAAAAAATCCATGTAGTTCAAGATGTACATTGAAAAGTAAGCTATAAGACAAAACTCGTATTAGAACATGATACAAATAAAGGATACCGCGGTGGACAGAGCTTTGCTTGGGAAGGCCTTGCTCTAAAGGAGAAGTTTTTTGGTCAGTCATTCAAATGATCTTTACTTCACTGTGAAAGCAGCTGTTAACATTTTTGTTAGCAACTTATATGGCTAATGTTGATAAAACGTTCAGAAAAAAAACCGTTTTTAAGTTCAAATAAACTGTTTATGGGATTTTATAGGAGGGATTGTTTTTAGAAATACTAATGATGACTGTAACTAATTGATTGATTGATTGATAACTCAGGAATATGATTCGTTCTCTTTAGTACTCATAGAAATCATTCACCAAATAAACTAATGGATTCAACATACTTGTAACTTATACCATTGATTCATTAGCCTGATTATAAATCTCGCATCTTGGAAGATGGATAATCAATGTTTACACTGTACTGTAGAATGTAGATGTACAGGGGGTTTTGTAACTCTCTAGTGCTTCAAATATACTAAATTATTTTCTTTTTTAAGCTCTACAACATGGTTTAGAAAGAAATTACAAAATTGTACACATGAAAACAAAAAAGTAAATCGGTCCTTGGTTCAGGTCTTACCGTTAGACCTACAATATTAGTTTATTAAACAATTTGTATTGTTTTAGTATTAGTATTAGTTGGTGAAAAATTTGCTAAAACAGAATTTTTTTAAACATGTAATAACTCAAGGCAGTGCAAAGCCTTGTTTCACGACACATGGTAGGTCAAAACCAGTGATCATCTTGATCAGTCAACGGATTTAGAGTCGTAAGAGAATATGCGAATGTGGTCTCTTGGCGCAAGGTGGCATGTAGATTGCAAGAGCTACTGACAGAAATAAACAGTAATTTAATTAGACAGTCCTCACCCAGAATTAAACATGTGCTTACGCATGATGAGGCCACTGCCATGTTTTGTTTTAATGTTGAAGACGAAGCCATAGCGGATTAAGCCTATCTAATGATGTCACTGTGATGACAAAACGCGTAGTAGTAATCTACAATAATTGGACCGCCAGAAGGTCCAATCACTAATTGATATTTGACGTTGCAGTTGTAGGAAATTAATTTTAGCTACTGGCGGGCTGAGAGAGAAGGGCCGAGCGATTGGCAGTTGATGTGGTTGAGATGAGAGAGCAACACAGCTTGGGATTTAACCTGAATAGTACTTTTTTTTACATGAGTGATAAAAAGTTTTAGAGCAGATTGAATGCTAAAACTCAATTGAATTTGTTTCCACACATCTTTATGGTACACAATACACTTTGGATTCCTAATCACAGGTTCTATTCATATAAATCCAAAAACTTCATCTCAGCTTCATAGTATATCCCATTCCATTTTTATTCTCGTACACTTGAACCACACAACTTATCCCAGTGCTTGGCTCGAAAACTGAACAGGCCGAGAAAACAGTGCACTGAGCCAGCCCGACTCATGAACCAACACGATCCACAGGCATTTGATGTTTCACGAGTTTTACCGACTTTGGCTGGGAACGGCTGGGGTCTTAATGAACCACTTACAACTGCTGCACAAACGACTGATGAGCTGTTCTCACAACGTGTATCCATACAAGCCACTGAGCAAGATCACAAGGAGTTTAGACAAACCATGTATCATGAGACCGAGGCTTAACTGTTTCAGATCACCCACACTAGAGCTAGATTCCTTACCTTCAGCTGGTCCCTCATAAGCAACACAGTGTATGGCTATAGGGATGACCTCTTTGTCAGGATTATAAGACAGTTCTTCATCTGTGTACCGGCTTGGATCAAAAATGTGAGCAGGTTGACTGAACAGCTGATTTGTGCCTCGCTTGTAGTAAAAAGTTTCTGAGGTCAAGGAGGGATCTTTGGGACAGTACCTTAAAAATAAACAATCATATGTTTAACTGTAAATATCAATGTATTACAGCTGAAATATTCTTTAAACTAGCTGTGTGCCCGTTCTACGCACGGGGATCTTATCGTAGATCGTAGTCAGTTAAACCCTTCTTATATTAAGCACAACAGTTGGTTTGCATACTTTCAGATATGCTGACAAAACTATTATATATACACCTTTGAAAATACAGTATCTGAGCGTTTCAAGCCAAAACTAATGCTTCGCAATTAAATGTCACCCGGATCTTGTTGGTCCATATTGCTAAATCCAATTATTCAGGGCCGATTTACCGAATAGGCACGGTAGGCACGTGCCTAGGGCGCGAGGTAATTGGCTTTTTTGGGGGGCACCAAAAATGTGGAAAATAAAAAAAAAATTGGTGGTTGCATGCGATTGCGGTAAACTTCTGATAATCCCTCGCGGCCGTATAGACATCGTAATCGTCTCCCGCGTTTGCGGCGAGATTCTTACTATTTTCAGCGGTCAGGTCGTTTAGACATAATTATCGTCTTCCATGATCGAAGCAATATACAGTATGAGCATATCCCGCGGTCGTGAGGAGATTATCATCGTCTACCACGAATGAGGCAAAATTCTGATCTTTTCCCGCGGTCGTAAGGACATTATCTTCGTCTTGCGCTATCGCGGTCAAATTCTGACCACCCCTCGCGGCCATGAAGACATCATTATATCGTCCCCCGCGGTCGTGTGAACATATTAATCGCCTCCCACGATTGTAAAAAAATGGTAATCATCTCCCTCGGTCTTGTGGAGATCGTCATCCTCTTCCGCAAATTAGGCAAAGTACTGAGCTTTTCCCGTGATCGTGTGGCCATTATCATCACCTTCCGTGATCGCGGCAATATTCTGATCATCCCTCGCGGCCATGTAGAAATCATTATTGTATCTTCCGCGGTCCTGTAGACATCGTAAAAACGTCTCCTGCGATTGTGGAAAAATTGTAATCATCCCCTCTGGACATATGGAGATCATCGTCTTCCGTGAATGAGGCAAAATTCTGATTTTTCCCGCGGTCATGTGGACATTATCATTGTCTTGCGCGATCGTGGCATAATTCCGATCGTCCCTCGCGGTCGTGTAAATCATTATTGTATCTCCCGCGGTCCTGTAGACATCGTAACCGTCTCCCGCAGTCGTGTATACATGGTAATCGTCTCCCGCAATTGCAGCAAATTGTTAATCATGTTCCGCAGTTGTGTGGAGATCATCATCGTCTTCCGCGATCGCGGTAAAATTCTTGCTGTTCCGCGCGGTCGTGTGGACATTATCATCGTCTCCCGCGGTCACGAAAACTGTTGTCATGCGCGATCACGGTAATTTGAAAACTCCAGGTAGAAATACAAAATTCACACATAATTCCAGGTTCATAAAATTCCCGCATGATTCCCGGATTTCCCGGTCGGTGGACACCCTTGTACATATATATATTGCAAAGGGGCGCTACTATTAGTTGTGCCTAGGGCGCTGACAGGGTCAAAAACGGGCCTGCAATTATTAAACTAAAAAATGCTATATAGATCTATGAGGCATAGCCCTGAGGTAGGCCTATAATTGAAAGTTACTTTCCACAATGGTTAAAAGTATTTAAGGTACTACCTCAACCTCACAATTTAACACTTTATTCGGGTGGACATTTTCATTATCAAGGTGCTCTTGTCCTTTCCATGAAACACTGAGAAATAAGAACATTTAATGAGACTAACATTAACTGTAATAGACTACTTAATGATATTCTTGGCTCACATAATTTTGAATTTTTAGTAAATTTTCCAACTAGAGTAACTGAAAAGACTGAGAGTGCTATTGATAACGTTTTCATTAATTTTTATCCCAACAGCATGCAAATTAGTGGTTTAAACACACAAATTTCTGATCACTATGCTCAATTATTAACCTTCAACTTGCCCAATAAAAATATGAACAATAAACCAATAACAAAAACAGTAAGAATATTTTCTAACCAAAATCTTAAAAAATTCTCAAATATGCTGAGTCAGGAAGGTTGGGAGGAGGTCTACTTTGCACCAGTAGAGTTGAAATTTAACATCTTCAACAGTATTTTTATGTATTACTTTGATACATGCTTTCCTATCACTAAATGTAGAGATACTCAGGGCTAGAGATATACAAGGGCTGGCTCACTCCTTTGATGTTAGCGGTCGCCGCCTGATCCTACTTCCCCTCCCCCGCCACTCCTCAGTGACGTAGCGGAGATACATCGGCGCGAGGCGCGACAGTAGCCTAGCACGGCAGTGCATATGTCGCCCGGCATCTACGCGCATATTATAAATTGTGTTTATAATAATGTAGTTTTATAGTGTGATTTTTAAAGCGTGTTTTGTTAACCCTCCAACTTGCAATGGGCGAACTCTGTAGTGGCAAGGCATTTTTGGCGATTTTGCAGTCATATTTCCGAAAATTCATATAAACTAAACCAACAGATCAAACCTATGAACCGTATTTATTATTTCCAACTCGAAGTGTTCGTAATTAAATGAAGAATTTGAAAATGGCAACGAAATAAATATTAAAAATATTGTAGAAAATATTGTCAGTAGGTAGAAAAATTGCTGCATGAACCAAAAATGTTTCATAAGATATACAAATTGTTTGGAATTGATTTCCCTACATGGAAATGTAAAAAGATTCCAATTACAATTTATACAAAGCTATGGCCCAAAAACAATAAAATGACAAGTTTCACGATTTTGCACAACAAATTTCAAATAAAAACCAAATAAATGTATTATCAAGAGATAAAGTAAAAGTAAACATTTTTAGGCAATAATATTGGAGGAGATCAAATGAAGTAAGAATTGTTTATGTATACTGATCATTTCAATAGATGTTTATGACTTTTAATAAATGTTTATATTTGTCTAGAAAAACATTTTGTTATTCACACGTATATATTATTTTAAAACCCCATACCAACTATATAAAATGAAAGTAAACTTATTCCCCTACATGAATATACATAGTTATAAAGGCAAATATACAAAAATAAATATTTTATAGTTTTTTCTATAAAATGCTGCTGTGCCTTTTTCATTGGCGATTAAATCGTTTGTTAATTATGACGAAATGTTTCAAAAACGGGCTAAATGTAATGTCCCAGACCTCAAATTAAGTAAGTATATCCACATAAAACAGTTTATAAACTAAATAAGTACAATTTTTACAACTAATAAATACGATTGAAGTGATAAAGTCAAACCCGCGATATTCGTTGCTGGTAAACAGTCAATGAAGTTCACAAAAACTGGCTAAAAAATAGTGTCTCAAGTTTCTAAAAGTAATGTCACATTACAGTCGAGGCACAATAAATAATATCGTAACGAAACATTTACAACTTATAATCACGATATAAACTGAAAAGTAAAATCACACCAAAACTTGACTTTTTAGTTATTGGTCAACAGAGATTGAGGTTAGTTAGTCAGGCAACTTAATGTATTTTTGCAACTATATGTTATTTTAATGTATTGAAATATGTAGGGCCTATAATAAAATGTAATTGATTAATTGAAATTCTTTTCCTTCCTGTAAAAGTTACAAAATACTAAGTATAGGTAATGTATTTTTATACAACCTCAATGTATTTTATATAACCTCAATGAATCCTAAAAGGTATGAATAAGTAATAAATAAATACAATTAATAATCCATACATTGAGATACATTCGAGCAATACAAACTCAGATATTACACAGTAACTTTAATGCATTGGATCAATAACTACAGTAATCTTAGCCATCACTTTACATTCCCCTCCCATCCTTAAATATCTACTAAAGTTAATTTTTTACTTATTAAAATTAATGTTATAAGTAATCCTATTTGAAAATCAATTACTTTTATAAAATACATTAATACCTAATAAAAAATGTCCAACATAGAGCTTAATAAACGCTAAATGTGCGGTAATACCAGCGCTCACACAGGCAAAGATATACGGTGCCGGGAGCCCGAGGTATCGCCGTGACGTCACAGCGGCGGAGGGGTTGGGGGCCACCTGGCATCACTTTCTGAGCTCGCGTGGCCTGGCCCTTGTATATCTATAGCCCTGAGAGATACTGATCAAAAAGTCCCTTGGAATAATCATGAGCTAGAAACAGAGAGGAAAAAAATTATAGAAAAAAGCACATTAGGGAGAATAACAAAATATGAATCTTTAGTGATTTCAGCCAAAGAAAAGAACAAAGCATTAAAAAAAATATTTTCAAAGCTAAACAAAGTTGTATGGATGAAAAAATTTTGAGATCAGGTAATGTGTCCAAAGACAACTTGGAATTTAATTAATTTAAATATAAAAAACAAAAAAAAAGGTTGTGAAGAGCATAGATGAAATAGAGGTAAATTCAAAAGTATATAATGACCCTACGGTTATATGTAACACTTTTAATGATTTTTATGTCAATGTAGTTGATTCTGATGTAATTCCAAAAATAAATACACCAAATTTACTAGTACCTAATTTAGTAATAAATAACCAACAAAATAAATTTAGATGTGAACCAATCAGTGAGACAGATATCAGTAAAATAATTTCCAAATTTGATAATAAACTATCATCAGGCTTCGACGATGTTCCCATAACAGTAATAAAGCATCCCAGAGTTCACTTAAAAAACCATTTGCACACTTGGTAAATTCATCATTTATATCCGGCATATTTCCAGATAAATTAAAAATTTCTAAAGTAAAACCTCTTTATAAAAAAGGGGACCAACTAGATGTTTCAAACTATCGCCCAGTAGCCTTGTTACCTGTCATGTCTAAAATTTATGAAAAAGCTATGTATAATCAGCTCGTTAACTTTTTAGAAAGTAATGATCTACTCGATAAAGAGCAGCACGGTTTTAGATCAAACCATTCTGTAATATCAGCGGCTGCTACATATATTGAGTCAATAATAAATTCAGTAGATAGGGGAGATAAAGTAATTGGAATATTTAT